ACCTATCATTATTGATGATGATGAGCCATAATGATATGTTAGAGCTGAAACATTTGCACGAAGGTCTAATAAAAGTTGTAGGCAATCTGAGTGCCCATTCAGTGCTGCTAGATGGACAGATGTCACTCTGCCGTCAGCCATCTTGTTGATAAATTTGGAAAGTGCACTGAAATAGAGCAGAACAGTTTAATTTGTCAAATTCTTGTGTGCACCGTGCAGGCGAAGTGAAGATTCCATACTTGATTTCTGCAGAAGATTCAGATCCTCCATTTTTGTTACTGCCTCTACCTTTATCACCGGAAATTGAAAGAATGGAAGATGCATCTGGAGTGCTAGGGATGAAGTCAGCTGCCAATAGCCTAATACATCTGATATGTCCATTAGCTGCTGCAAAATGCAGCGCCGTCTTCTTCCCTAGGTATTCTGCCTTTGTTACCTATACTTATCAAAAATTCTACTCAGTAGTTCTTCTCTTTAAAATTTTATTGTATTTTAGGTGAAGGAATTTCATCTGCGATAATCCCCCTTCCTTCAGTTGGAAGTGTCTTGTATTCACTCGGTTCAAGTGTTGGAAATGAATGCGCACCGGACATGTTAGAGTGTAAAATTTTAACTCTCAACCTCTCCGCAACTTCGGAGTTTTGTTGTAACAGCAAGGCCCTTTCATATGGTATTAGAGCAATCTAGGTTCAACTCCAACCAGCCACAAGTTTAATACAATTTTGTTTTTGTTTTTGCTTTAATTTTGATACCACTGCATGAGTTCAGGTTCTACATAAGAAGTGGCTAAATGTATTTGGATTCATGAATTAAAAAGCTCAATATTTTTTTAGTGAATATCGTTACAAATAGTCAAATCTTTCGCCTTCATGGGCCTTTTCCACCCTATATTTGGTATTTGAATTTATGGTTCCATGAGCCTTTTATTGTTTGTATATTGCTTTAACAACCTAGTTTTTACTCCTCTCAAGCAAATCCAGCAATTTCTTTGTTGCTTGCATTCAGAGTGAGAGGTAAAGGACATAATTTTATCCATAACTTATTCTTTCACTTTCTTCAAAAGGCTAAATTACTAAATTTCTATCCAATTTCTAATAGAAATTCTCATAAGTCCAAACAATGAATCCAAATGCAATTTTCTCTCTCTAACTTCACATAAAAACATATCACTTAGATACCTTGTGTGCTTGAAAATATCTGAAGTTCATTGTAGCCTTTTAAAGTTGAACACTTCTTAGTCGAGGTTTTAAATTGAAAATCCATCTAAAATTGGAGATAGCACACATACTGAACATATTTCTCAGAGACAGGGGGGTGGGACCCACTGTGCCAGTGGGGCCCACCCCCTGTTTATGTGCGAGTTAGCTCGCGTACCCTTCTCGGTAATATAGCAATCTCGTAATCCAACAAGCAAGTAAAAGAAATCAATTTCATGACTCACATCAGCTCCAAAGATCAGAAGAACCTGAACAAGCTCCCAGTGCCCTTGATGACAAGCTTGCATCAACGCTGTCTTTAACCAGAAAATGGAACCAAAAAAAAAAAAAACCCAACCGAAGCCATTCAGTTAACTCAAAATAACCAACGAACAAAAAGAAACTAGCATATATACAAACCTGTCCATAAAAATTCCTTGAATTTACGTCTGCCCCATTCTCCAACAACAGCATCACCATCTGAAACAAGAACCAACAGTCAACACAAAAGCTTAAACTGCTTAATTAGTTTACCCTTTTTAAAATAAGCAAACCTCAGTGTGTCCTTTTGATGCAGCAAAGTGAAGCGGTGAGTTGAGAGCAGCAAAACTGGAGTAAGTAGCCAGACAACTTTTCTGTTCTAACAATAATTTTGCTTCCGCCAGGTCGCCGTCTCTGGCCGCAGATGCCAGCCTCTCTCCTGGAGCCGAGCAAAATATTGAGTTCCCCATGGATTCAGGTGCCTCAGGGTTTAGAGATAAAAGACTTCCAAATTTTGTCTATACGAAAACAAGCTCTCATATATTTCTCTCTTCATACGAGTTGGGAGTTAGCTACTGTTTTTTTTTGCTGATTCGGTCTCAGGCGGTGGGAAGACCGTGCACGATTGCAAACGGATAATTTAATACGATACTCAATTGATGATGTGTGTAGTTCTATTTTTGGTTATTGGTTAATATTTTTTTTAAGACAAGATAATCTCTTAAGTGAGAATTCAAGTGCCTGATTTCATTTGGGTGGGGTCGTTCAGATCCCACAGGCATTAGATTCGTAACCAGATCGATTACAATCTGATAGCCGTTTCCGTGAAGCAGACCAATAATTTGTTTTTTGGGAAAAATATCTATAGCCCCCTGTATTTTTCAGAATTCTTTTCTTCTTCACCTTTTCTCGGGTTTCTTTTAAGTCTCTGGAATGAGGGATTCACTATCTAAGCCTTTTCACACGACTTAGTTCATTGGTTTTTATTTTCTATAGTTAATGTCAAAAAGTTTCGTAACTGTTGTGCGCGGAAGCCTATTGTTGTGCTTCGAGGAACCAAACACAAACGTCAAGAGAGAAAGCCAAACAATGTAAAATAACGGCACAAACACAATGTAAAATTACGTGGTTCGGCAAGTTGCCTACGTCCACGGGGTAAGAAGGGGATGAGGTATTCACTAATAAAGAAGAAGAGTACAAACTGAGATTACAAATCACTCATACTCACTAATTAATCTCACCAACAAAGCTCTTAATCTCTCATACAAAACTCTAACCAATAGCTCCAGAAAATACCTCTTTTCTGTGCTCCAAATATCCTCACAACAGCTCCCTAAGAAACCATAAAACGTGGTTGCTATTTATATCAAACAGCAATCCCAAACAGAATAGGAAACCGCAATCAGGCCCAACCTCGACTGGCGGTCGACCGTCGAAATCGTCGCGGTCGACCGGACAGAACGACAGAAACCAAAAAAATGCATTACAGGGTCCGCGGTCGACTGCACTTGAGGCCGCGATCGACCGGTTAGAAAACCGAAAAACACCATGTAGTCGTGCATGTTTGCGGTCGACCGCGCCAAAGCTCGCGGTCGACCGACAAGCTCCCAAATGCCTGTCTATATCAAATTTCATGATCTTCTCCAATGTTTTCATCGTTTTTTACAGTAACATGAAGTTAGACTGAAAATCTTAGTAGAAGATTTTTTGAAGGGTATAAGGGGTTAAAGTTTGAATCATCAAGGCCCCGTTTGACAAAGGGTTAATGAAGAGGGGTTAAAGAGAATGATTAATGTACTTAGCCCATTTGATAATCCGAATGACTAAATTATTAACCCGTTAAATAAGTTTTATTTTAGCCCTTATGATCAGTTTTAGTGTTTGGGAATAATAATGATTTTGACTATTTTCTTTATAATTAGAAGGGTTAACTCTTATTCCATCTAAATAGGAGTATTAGTAAACCCCTCATTTTGAGGGGTTAACTCATTTTAACCCCTCTAGAGGGGTTAACTTAACACTTCTATATTTTTTATGTTTGGCAAATTATGAAGGGTTAACTCACTTTAACCCTTATATAGATTTGTTGTGTTTGGCAGATTAAGAAGGGGTTAAGTCTCCTTAACCCCTCACTTAACCCTTTGCCAAACGGTACCCAATGGTCTAAAACAAATGGAGTAAACACGTGGGAGGCGAGAACTATTACTAAAAAATCCTAGGAACATAAAGATAATTTTGCCTTTTTTTTTTGCCGGACTGACATTTAGTTAAGAATTTAGGACAGATAATAACATATGATCATAGAAAACTCTGGTACAGCTACTCCATTTATTTAAACTTACAGAATACATACAAGGATTGCATCAGAAACTCTATAATCAAAGCCGAAAATGGGGCGATTTTGAGTAAATTAATTAGACCCCAGCAATTGCCTATACCTGAGAAAATTCTAGATCACTGTGTCATGCAGAACTTTGTCACAAATATCGGGGCAAAGATAGCAACTGAAGAAGCTAATTTCATCCCCTTCTTTTATAAGATATATGCGAAGGTGTTGTTTGATAGAAACAGGCGACAAAACTTGCCTGCCCACCTGTGATGTAGATGACCAAAACAAGTAACAGTATAAAAATGACAACTACACGTGTTCGGTGGCCTGTTGCCATCAAAGGATTTAGATTGTTCGCGAGCCTGTTATGGGTCCATTATAAGATAATACTCACATGAGATTCACATAAATTAAGATTCTATTTAGAAGAAAATTTAGAGGATCTAGTTATAATAAGAATAGGTTTGGAGGATCTAAAAATAAAAATTTTTTATAAAGATGAGAAGCTTGTAATTTTTTTGGTGCTACAGTAAATCCTGAATAGTAATCCGAGAGAAGAAAAGAGGGGAGAGAGAGAAAGAGAGAGAAGTTCAGATTCCTGATAGCTCAGTTGTCCAATTGCAGTGATTCAAAAGTCGTTGTCTTCAAAACGACGACGTCGTTGAGGGTACAGTGTTGGTTTCTTCTTGGGTGTTGGAGATTTTTGGTGAGACGGATTTTAGGGTTTTGGTGCCCTAAAGGTAATACTGTATCTTTTTCTTGTGATTTAATCCTCAGGTTCAGGTGGAACTTGGAGGTATTGTACTCTTGATTCATAGTGAAATATTTCTCTCTGGATTGCTCCGTGGACGTATGCACGATTTGCCGAACAACGTTAAATCTTGGTGTTTGCTTGCTTGTGCTATTTTCATTGGTGCTGTTATTCGTTTAATGTTTAATTTCGCAGATTAATCTCCATAAAATCCCTAACAAGTGGTATCAGAGCCAGGTTCGAGGCGTACTTTGGGATGGAAAAAATGGAGAGTTTTGGCACAATAATAAAATTAGATGGTTCTGATTGGCAAGTATGAAAGTCCAAGATAGAAAATATCCTGTATTGTAAAGATTTACATGACCCTATTAAGGGAGATGAAGCCAAACCAGAAAAGATGAATAATAAAGAATGGAAGAAATAACACAAGAAAGCGATCGGTTATATTCGGATGTGGATCGACGTTAGTATGTTTCATCATGTATTGGGTGAGACTAATGTTAAGTCGCTTTAGAAGAAGCTTGAGAATCTCTACGAGCAGAAGACCGTGGGAAACAATGCATTTATTATGAGGCGGTTGGTGAACTTAAAATTCCAAGAAGGAAGCAACATAGCAGAGTACTTGAATGAGTTCAAGAGTTTAATTAATCAGTTGGCTATCATGAAGATGACTATCGATGATGAGCTACAGGCTTTATTACTATTGGGTTCTTTGCCAGAAAGTTGGGAGACACTGGTTGTGACAGTCAGCAACGCAGCTCCAGATGGTGTGTTATTGATGAGTATGGTTACTAGTAGTTTATTCAATGAGTAGACTTAGAGGAAGTCTACCAGCACAGATAACTCACAGGCACTTGTCATGAAGAACAGTGGTAGGAGCAGGTACATGGACCAGTCCAGAGGTCGTGGCACATCCAAGGGCAGATCAAAGTCTAAAGGGAGAGGTTTTTATTGTGTGAAGCCAGGTCATATCAAGAATAATTGTTGGGCATTGAAAGAGCAAGCTAGGAACAAAGATGAAAATAAAGATGAGAAGAAGAAAGTTGATAGTGACACTACAACTACTTTGTCTGAGACCGATATTATTCTCATTTACAGAAAAAAGACTGTATGCATGTTACAAGTTAGAATTCTGAGTGGATAGTGGATACAGGAGCTACATATCATGCTACCTCCAATCGAGATATTTTCACATCGTATAAAGCATGTGACTTTAGCAATGTGAATATGGGCAATACCAGCTACTCGAATATTGTGGGACTTAGTGATATACGCTTGCAGACAGATACCGGATACACGTTGATCTTAAAGAATGTGTGGCACATTCTTAATTTGCGGCTCAACTTGATTTCGGGTCTTACTTTGGACCGAATAAGATATGAAATTCAATTTAGTGGAGGAAAATGTAAATCACCAAAGGCTCTCTTGTGGTGGCTAGAGGAAGTATATGTTGTAAGACTTAAGCAAAGGCTTCATATGGTTCTTTGAGAGTGGCTCAAGACGGCGACACTCTCAGTTTGTGGCATAGGAGACTCGGGCACATGAGCAAGAAGGGGTTGCAGATATTGCCAAAGAAATCTCTCATTCTCTTTATTAAAGGTTCATCACTCACCCCTTGTGATTATTGTTTGTTTGGCAAACAACATAGAGTTTCTTTTAGTAAGTTTTCTAAAAGAAAAGATAATATCCTGAATTTAATTTATTCTGATGTTTGTTGTCTTATTGAGGTAGAGTTCTTTGGTGGCAATAAGTATTTTGTCATATTTATTGATGATGCATCACAGAGGATGTGAGTCTTCTTATTGAGGACAAAAGACCAGGTGTTTTTAGTCATCCAGCAGTTTCATGCCATGGTGGAGAGGCAGACATGAAATAAGTTAAAGTATTTGCGCACTGATAATGGAGAAGAGTACACTTCCATTGAGTTTAGAGATTATTGCTCCAAGCATGATATTCGGCATCAGAAGACAGAGCCCGGCAAATCGCGGCATAATGGAGTTGTAGAGAGGTACAACATGATCATTGTGGAGAAAGTCAGATGCATGTTGAAGATGGCGAAGTTACCTAAGAACTTCTAGGCTGAAGCTATTCGCATTGCATGCTACATAATCAACAGGTCTCCTTTAGTTCCTTTGGGTTTTGATATTCCAGAGAGAGTTTGGTCCGGAAAAGATATTTTTTATTCTCATCTGAAGGTGTTTGGTTGCAAGTCATTTACACACATTCCGAAGGAGAAGAGATAGAAGCTTGATGATAGAGCGGTTTCTTGCATCTTCCTTGGTTATGGAGAAGATATGTTCGGTTACAAACTATGGGATCCAGAAAAGAGGTTCCTTGCATCTTCCTTGGTTATGGAAAAGATGAGTTTGACTACAAAGTACGGGATCTAGAAAAGAGATGAATTATCAGACGAGCGGATATGATTTTTCAGGAGGATCAGACTATTGCAGATCTCGGGAGAGCAAAGCAGTTAGAGAGTGTTGCTAGTGAGATTCCATATATGACACATGTTTCGTCTCTAGTGCAGTTGCATTCTACAGATATAAAGCAAGTGTGATGATGGTGTTGATGATGACGGTCAAACACCATAGCAGGGAGACAGTGTCAAGATCACGAGTAGGAGGCTCCTCAGCAGGGGGAGCATCTTCAGCAGCAAGAGTTTGCAGAGCCACAAGTTAGGAGATCAGCTAGAGAGCATCGACCATCCACGAGATATCATCTTTCATAGTATTCTTTGTTGGCAGAAGAAGGGGAGCCAGAAAGCTTTTAATAGGCACATACTCATAAAGACAAGGACAGATAATTCCAGGCTATGAAGGAAGAGATGAAGCCTCTTGAGAAGAACGATACTTATGAGTTGGTGGATTTGTCGAATGACAGAAAAGTTTTGAAGAACAAGTGGGTGTTCAAGTTAAAGAATGATGGCTACAAAGAGATTCAGAAATACAAAGCCAGATTAGTGGTGAAAGGCTTTGGTCAGAAAAAAGGACATTGATTTTGATGAGATTTTTTCACCAGTTGTGAAGATGACGTCCATTAGAGTTATCTTGGGGTTAGCAACTAGTTTAGACCTCGAGATTGAGCAGCTTGATATGAAGACTATGTTCCTTCATGATGATTTGGAGGAGGAGATCTACATGGAGCAGCCGGAGGGTTTTAAAGTGAAAGGAAAAGAACACATGGTTTGCAGGTTGAAGAAGAGCCTCTATGGTTTGAAGTGGGCACCCAGACATTGGTACAAACAAATTTAATTCTTTCATGTTGAATCATGACTACCAGAGGGCAGTTGCAGATTCGTGTGAATATTTCAGGAGAATTTCAGATTCTAACTTCATTATCCTTTTGCTTTATGTAGACAATATGTTGATTGTTGGTTAGGATAATCAGATAATCGGTGGGCTGAAGAAGAGATTATTTAAATTTTTTACATGAAGGATTTGGGCTTGACACAGCGGATTCTTAGTATGGATATTGCTCGTGACAGGAAAGCCAGGAAGTTGTGGTTATCACGGGAGAAATATGTTGAACGACTACTTGATAAATTCAACATAAAAGATGCCAAGTCAGTCAGTACTCCTCATGCAGGTTATTTGAAGCTTAGCAAAAAGTTTTGCCCGACTACAGATGAGGAAAAGAGTGAGATGGAGAATATTTCTTACTCTTCAGCTGTAGAGAGTTTGATGTATGCCATGATTTGCACTCGGGCTGATATAGCTCATGCGGTTAGCGTTGTGAGCTTGTTTCTTTCTAATCCGGGGAAAATTCTTTGGGAAGGTGTAAAGTGGATCTTAAAATATTTGAAAGACAGTTCCAGATTGTGTTTGAGTTTAGGGGGTTCAAATGTAGTTTTATATGGTTTTACAGATGCGGATATGGCAGGTGATCTCGATCACAGGAAGTTTACCTCAGATTGGTTGTTCACTTTTGCATGGGAAGCAGTATCTTGGCAGTCCATGTTGCAAAAGTGTGTTGCTTTATATACAACAGAGGCGGAATATATTGTAGCTGCAGAAGCCGATAAGGAGATTATTTGGTAGAGAAGATTTCTGCAGGAGTTAAGCTTGTAGCAGGACAATTATCAAATTTATTCCTCTATACAAATAGGAGAACCAAAGATTCACTATTCATGCTAATGTTGCAAAAGTGTGTTGCTTTATATACAACAGAGGCGGAATATATTGTAGCTGCAGAAGCCGATAAGGAGATTATTTGGTAGAGAAGATTTCTGCAGGAGTTAAGCTTGTAGCAGGACAATTATCAAATTTATTCCTCTATACAAATAGGAGAACCAAAGATTCACTATTCATGCTACAGTACCATTTACCGTATCGTTATTACCGTGGCAATAAGGGGACGGGATACTGTAGCAAATTTTTTGAAAAAATTATACTTTTTTAAAAAAAATCACTATAATAGAGCGGGATACTGTATCAATTCAAAAAAAAATTTATAGCATTTAAAATCAGAATTACTGTAGCGGGAAAAAAAGGTATGTCGTGCTTTGCACGGTGTTCACACTAGTCTTCATTAATAGTCAAAGTGATCTTGATTTAAGGAAGAATTTACATTCCACTCCAAGACGAAACACATTGATGTGAGATATCATTGGCTTAGAGAAGCCGTTGAGAAATAGGAGCTAAAGCTACAGAATATTCACACAGATAAAAATCTAGCAGATTTTTTAACGAATACCGTTTCCAGATAGAAGACCGGGTTGTGTCGACGATTGATCATCATGAACTTTCGTTGAAGAGTTACAGATTAGTATAATACCCCCTCATTGGGCTGGAGGGGGAGATTGTTGTGGGTCCAGCCAAGATAAGGCCCACATGAGATCAACATGAATTAAAATTCTATTTAGAAGATGATTTGAAGAATCTAGTTGTAATAGGAATAGGTTTGAAGGACCTGAAAATTAAATTCCTTTATAAAGAAATTCTATTCATGAGAAACATGTAATTTTTTTGGTGCTACAGTAAACCTTGAATATTAACCCGAGAGAAGAAAAGTGGGGGGAGAGAGAAAAGTTCAGATTCCGTATAGCTCGGTCGTCCGATTGCAGTAATTCAAAATCCATTGTCTTCAGAACGACGGCGCCATTGAGGGTACAGTGTTGGTTTCTCCGCGGGTGTTGGAGATTTTTGGTGAGACTGGTTTTAGGGTTTTGGTGCCCTAGAGGTATTATTGTGTCTTTCTCTTGTGATTTAATCCTTTAGTTCTGGTGGAACTTGGAGGGATTGTACTCTTGATTCATAGTGAAATATTTTTCTCTGGATTGCCTCGTGAACGTAGGCACGATTTGCCAAACTACGTTAAACCTAGGTGTTTGCTTGATTGTGGTATTTTCATTGGTGCCGTTATTCGTTTAGTGTTTAATTCCGCAGATTAATCTCCATAAATTCCCTAACAAAGCCATCATCACTTATTCTCTCAGATTGGATTTCTCGAATCAGTGACTCGGACCTACCTCAGGAGTCAGGATTCCTTCAAAAGAGGGATTTTTGGAAAATTACGATCCAATTCAATCAACAATCTGTGTCGATAGTCAAGTTTCAATCTTGGCGGGAGCAAGGAAGACGTAGAAGCATAGAATTCTTAAGAAAGAAATATACCTATTAAACCTTTGCTCTTATGAGTTTCAAGGAACTTTCAGTCTTAGACATGATCCATACCAACAAAGAAACTGCACCAAAAAATTTTAACTATCAGAAATAACAGCTAAAGTTACACTAATCCATATCTGATAGTTGGTACAAGATTTTCAAAAAGGAATTGTTCAGCTCGTCTTACGGAATCCACTCGGAGGTTCACCCAAAATTAAACATTTTCCGTTATGAAGTTATCATCACCAATCGCTTTTGGGCTCCATGCTGAGGATAAAAGATCGCAGAATATGAGGCATCCGTAATGAAGTGTAGACGTTAGAATTGAAAGAAACATTCTGTCATTCTCTGACTTTTACTTCTTCATGTGTGCAGGAACAAGACGCTGAATTAGTTCTGGAGAAGCTCCACTAAGCTCTGTAGGGGAGTTAACCTTCAGGGAAATCCAGAAAGTTTAAAATGCAAATAAATAATTACCTTGGGGTGTAAAATCAAATAGAGGAGGAAGGGGTTCTCCATTTGGAAGGCGAGCATTTGGATTTCTCAACTCATCAAAGAACGGATGTGCACAGGCTTCTAGCTGCAGCGGTTGACAAAAAAGAGGAGAAACAATGTCAAAAATATTTAACAACTGACGAAAAATTAAGAAAATTTTCAGACAACGTAATCTGATGAATCTGAATTATAATATGCAGTTTTTTTATTTTCATGAAAGAACTGAAGAAATTAATTACTTACAGCAGTGCAACGAAGATTTGGTGAATATTGGAGCAACTTTGACAGGAAATCGACAGACTCAGCGGGCATTCTTTTTGGGAAAATCTGCATGTCTATATTTGTATAAGCATCAAAACAAAACTTGCATCTAGCAGTTAATAGTGAGGGATAACAATGACCTGATGCCAGGGACGAGCTTTGATCTGAGGAAATTTGAAATCTGTATAGTTTGGGTTCATGCACTCGATTTCTTCCCTTGTCGGTGTGCCTATAACCTGATAAAAACCATTCACTCAAGAGCTTGTTTAATGTTGAAAGATAAAATGATATAGAGCTGCATAAGAGGCAGATAATAACTATCTGACCTTAATAATTTCCACAAGCTGATCAACGCCGCTCTCTCCAGGAAATAAAGGCTGCAAAGGATTCATTTCGTTAACACCGATATACAAAAGCATGGTCGCATAAAGTAGCCGAGACATAATAACTGACATAACGTAATGCGTCAATTCTATTATTAGCTTAACTGATGACAGATAAATACCTGCCCTAAGATGAGTTCAGCTAAGACACAACCAGCAGACCACATATCAATTGCTGTAGTATATTCCGTAGCTCCAAAGATGAGTTCAGGAGCTCTATAATACCGAGAACATATATAGGAGATATTAGGTTCGCCTGGGACCTGAAATTAGAATAGCAAACATCAAATCTAATGACAGTAACATCCACCTCATAGTATGAACTAAATTTACTAGATTTATCACACACCAATTGCTTTGCACTGCCAAAATCGCAAATCTTTAGTTGATGAGTATGGGGATTGACCTGCATAAAAAAAATCAGACTGTCAGCAATCCTTTGTCCGAAGTCTTTGATTATTAGGCGATAACTTCATACATAGGCAATTGTACTATAAAACAGGTCTATAGAGTTTCTAGGCTAAATCACTAGTAAATAACAAAAGATGATGACAGTAGAAGTATGCTGGAGTACTTTGCGTGAATCAAAATTGTGGTCACAAAGCATAATATGATGATAACTTATCAAGAAGTTTTTCATCTCGAACATTGTAACAGTTTGAATATATCTACACTACTACATAAAAAAAGGCAAATATGTTTGACAGCCTCCACGGAAAATTAACTCTCATCACCATTAAAAACTGATTATCAACGAAATATATCTGTGTTTTTGTCAATAATTCCTTTGTGGGCATCTGCATGACGTCGTAATTGACAACTGCTTTGTACATAACCATTTTAAGTATCAAGGTACGCGAAGTCAGATATAAAAGAACCTACTGAAAACCTATTGGAGTTGCTAAAGCACTAGATTTAAGAGAAAATGCAGAGCAGTGTCTTACCAAGAGATTTTGTGGCTTTATGTCACGATGGCACACATCTAAAACTCCATGTATGTAAGCAAGGCCCCTACATATCTAACCAAATCCAAAAAAGTTGTGAATTACAGAATTCAATTTGTAGAAATATTAAGTTTGCAAAATAAATATTTTTTTAGTTCGCAAAATATAGTGAACTAGTTCACCAGTTACCTGGTAAGCATAAAGGCGGATGTATATGAGAGGCATTTTCTGGTTCACCCGCAGATAATTTTTGGCCGCTCGGTGAACAGTCTCAGAGATATACTCTTGTACAAGATTCAGGTACAACTCATCTTTCTCCGTAGTTGAAAAGAAGTGATGCTTTAACTGAACCACATTAGGATGGTTAAACATCTGTAATATTTGAAGTTCCCTATTTTTGTATCTCTTGTCCTGAAGAACCTTCTTGATAGCGACTGTTTCCGAAGTTTCTAGACATTTAGCCTGCACAATTTCAATATCAAAAGAATATATGTCGAAATTGTAAAGGATTAAACTAACAAAATAAATGAGATGATATAACATAGCTTGTATGTACCTGAAAGACAACCCCAAATGAACCAGTGCCGACTACGCGTTCTGCCATATATGAAACTGTCTGACATCCAATTGCCATGAAAGGGACAGACAAGTAAATCGACTATTTACTCGGACTAACAAATACAGCGTTGTTTCATGAGTAAAACAATCAAAAAAAAAATTGAAACGATTAAACGAATTCAATCTGCGACTAATTGATAGTAAATTAAGGAAGTACTAATATTAAAGCTGAAATAGAAATTTGCTCCTTTCCTGGTTGTGTGATCGAAGAATGATCTTCATTCAGAAAGGACTAATTTAAAACTTTAGAAAAAAAATCAGGTTACCTTTTTCGGCTGTCCACCCCGACCACCAACCACTGTTTTTATTATTTGACCTGCGGTTTCTGTTCCATTTCCTCTCGTCGTAGTATTCTCCTTATCCTGCGCATGAACCACGACAGTCGGTTGCGAATATGTATACAAAAAGGATAGATATCAAAGAAATCACCTTATCATCTCTGAGTTTCATGTCGCTTATCTTCTTCTGAAGAAGCTGATCAGGATCTTGCCCTTTTCCACTGGATGTACCGTCGTCGTGATGTAAGTCTTTGGAAGTTGTATGCCGTACTAGAGACGCGCCTCGTTCTTTCAGAGGAGATTCAGTCGAAGCTTTCTCATTCACGTCTTGGTCAACTTTCATCCTCTTAATACCAGAATCTCCGTCCTGGTGATGACGTTTATGAAAGAGGAGAGGCGAAAAAAATTTAAAAAAAAAAGAATTTAGTTATGGAACTATCTAAAAAAAATTATACCGCTTTATATATACTAAAGGGTTAAACATTTCATATAGCTCGTTTGTTGAAAATGTGAGGTAAACATGTACTTGCTAAACATTTCATATAGCTCGTTTAAATGACAAAATGATTTAAATGTTACGTTCATAACTCATATAAATACCCATATATATCCACTAATATTGCATTAATTCTCCACCCAGAGAGGCACGGGTATCTGCTCTTGTACACGCGCATCTCTCAGCTTCGAAACTTCATGGTTCATTATGTTTTATTTTGTCTTTTTGTTTTTTTTTTTTCATACGTATTGCATATAATAAGAATACTTCAATGAGGTATGTTTGAAAATGGGTAATTGGTACGAAAGCATTCGCCAAATTTATCCTAAGATGACCATCATTCAAATTCTCAGTTACACGATTATACTACTTCCAAAAAAGAAAAAAAAAGCAATAACATTGAAATTTTCGATATAAAATGGAGTGAAGATCGAGCAGTGCTTACTATTTCGGGATTCAAGTTCCGACCCGAAGCAAAGCTCTTGAGCCTCCGTACTACGTTCATCTTGTCTCCTTTCTTTCTCTTCTCCAAAGAATTATCGGAGAAGAGAGAGAGAGAGAGAGAGAGATTGAAATGAGAAAGAGAAATAATGTTCTCTTTCTCTCTTCTCTCTTTCTTTTTTCTCTCCTCCTCTTTTTGTTGGTCAAAGTGAGCAATTTCTGAACCCCAATCAATTTCCAGATATGGGGTCCGTGCTCCGAGGACTGAGGAGGGAGTTTCAGCCGTTGGATTGGATGGGATTTTAGAAATTTGACGGAAGAGATAAAAGGAGATTCTGAGGTTGAGATTTGAATTTTCTATCTTTAAAACGAGAGCATGCGAAGAAAGCGGGTAGGGTCAATGATGGGAGGTGGTGCACGGATGAACTAAAATAGTGTTGTAATGTGTTTATTGATTATTTGTAGTACTTTTAAGTTAAGTTCACAGGTTCGGTTTCTTTAGGGAGCACTCCCACAAATTTAATTTCGTCAAATACCGGAGACCGTGCGTTGGTGGTGCCCCTTAGCTACGCCAGGGGTTCATACCCATGGTCCGAAGGATAGAGAGAGAGTTCCCTTAAAAGTGAATCTAGGTGGTTGATTGTAATAAAAAAACTGTTTAAAGAGTTTATGTACAAATTGAAACCAAATATGGTTTTTATAGAATGACTCTACTTTAAATATGGTTATGATAAACAAAGGTGGCAATGATACTTCCATTATTTTCCCTTTTCCTTCTTCTTCCCGATGCAACAGCATTAGTAGTGACAATAATAAGGCTAAATTGCAATTATATATTTATATGCCTTATCGTTTCACTCTTGTAACACTTAAATACCTAAAGTTACAAAACATTAAAAAAATACCCTGAGTTGGCAACCGCTTGAATTGGGCTGACAGTGTTAAAATAAACTCGATTTGAACAAAATGCCCCTCTTTGAATTTTGGGAGAGGGGCAAGTAAAGCAGTAAATTCTACAATAAATGAGGGCAAAAACTATGAAATTTTCTCATGTGACCAGCGCGTGAGAATGTTCTAGGGAATATTGTCATAGCTATTAACAGAAGGTAGTATGCACAATTATACCAACTCATAGTATGTTTTTACTACGCCTTATGACTTAGGGTATCTAAGTGCTACGAAAGTGAAACAATAACGTACACAAGTCACATTTAGCAGCAACAATAATAGAAGATAAAAAAGTCAACTTTACCAATGACTCGCTTAAGATAGACTTTTAATATTTCTTTTAAATTTCAACTTATTATGCTAATATTCATTAAAAATATATAAAAAAAGAAGGAACAGTCCCCGAGGCAAAAAAAAAATTCAGTACAATTTCAATTTAAAAGGGCCTGCAAATAACCAAAGAAATAACTCATAAAAATTAAATAAATAAAATATACAAACATAAAAATTAAAAAATTTAAACACCCAACCTTTCAAGCTAATGACGCGGGTTCGATTGTCGCTACCAGCTCTATATTTTTGGACAAATTTTGAAAATCGACCGTTTTTTTAAAGTTAATCGGCAAAATCGACCGTTGAAATTTTTTTTTAGCAAAATCGATCTTTTTTTGCACGGGACTGCTAGTCCCGTGCAGAAAAGGGTCGGTTTTGCAATTTTTCAAACTGCACGGGACTGCTAGTCCCGTGCAGTGCGGTTCTGCCCCCCACCCGACCCCAATCCACTTTCTCTCTCCTCCAACAATCCCCTCCTCCGTAAATCTCTTCCCATTCTCCAGACCCACCAACATTTTCCCCTCTTCTCCTCTTCCTCCTCCTCCTCCTCTATCACACCATCATCATCCATCAATGGAGACGATGCCAGCACTGCCGCTAACTCAGCTGCCGCCGTTCCAATTCTACAAGAGGACAGCGAGCGGCCCATTGTTAGTTCCAGGCATACTGACGCCTATGCCGCCATTGAGCTCGCTTTGGATTCTGTTGTCAAGATCTTTACCGTCTCCAGCAGCCCTAACTACTTCCTCCCTTGGCAGAACAAATCTCAGAGGGACAGCATGGGTTCTGGTATTTCCAATTAATTCCATTCAAAATCTTAGCTTGCTATCCGAGTTTTGTTTATTGGAATGGGTTTTAGTAAATTTGATAGAGACCCACATGTCTCCATTGATGGATGATGATGGTGTGATAGAGGAGGAGGAGGAGAAGAAGAGGGGAAAATGTTGGTGGGTCTGGAGAATGGGAAGAGATTTACGGAGGAGGGGATTGTTGGAGGAGAGAGAAAGTGGATTGGGATCGGGTGGGGGGCAGAACCGCACTGCACGGGACTAGCAGTCCCGTGCAGTTTGAAAAATTACAAAACCGACCCTTTTCTGCACGGGACTAGCAGTCCCGTGCAGAAAATAGTTGATTTTGCTAAAAAAAAATTAACGGTCGATTTTGCCGATTAACTTTGAAAAACGGTCGATTTTCAAAATTTGTACTATATTTTTCTCCCTACACATAATATCGACCCATACGGGCACGCACAAAACACTCGTGATAATAGAAGATATAAATTAAAAAAAAAATTAAGTTTGCAATCACTCACGCGCAAGTAATTACCCGGATTCCTCCTCACCGTTTTCTTCCCCCTGTTCCCCTCCCTCCCCGCCGATCCCAAAACCCACAAAAAAAAAAAAAAACCGCAACCCCGAATACCCTAACCCCTAGAAAAAGCCAATGGCTCCTCCTCCTCCTCCTCCCGCCTCCTCCTCCGCCGCTCTCTCAGTCCACCTTCCATCCCCCAAGAAGATCCAGCGGCGTCCGGCGACCCACCCTCTCGACCTCAATCATGGAAAGCCGAGAAGAAACCCGCGTCGCCCCTCAAACCTCCAAGCACTCTAATCCTCTCGCCACCCCCAACTCTCCCTCACCCTCTCCACCCTCGAATCCCTCCCGCGCCACTCGCGCCCTCGCCGCCGGCTCCTCTCCTCCGCACCCAACGCCGTTCCCGTCTTCGACGCACCCCGCCTCCGCCAGCTCTGGCCCGCCTCCACGGCCCCGCCGCCTCTCCAAATCCAGACGAGAAGTCCGACGGCCATTCAAGTCCAACCTCGCCGGATCCCGTCCTGCAGGCTCAAGAAGCTGCTCTCTTCTCGCCACCCCGACGGGCGACCGCCTCCGCTCGAGCACATCCGCGTCGCCCGGCGCGACCTCAGCCTTGCCCGACGACTTCGAGCACTCGGTCATCCTAGCCCCAGCCCTCCGGCCTTTTCCGAGCTGGTCGCCTCGGCCACCGGAGGACGATCCCGATGGGCCAAATTCTGTGGAGGCGGCGCGCGAACCCCGGGCGACCGACCCCGTCTCGGCCATTGAGAAGGCAGGGGAGGGCGAGTACAGGACGGGGGCTCGGATGCGGAGGACGCGAGTTCTCGTTCCTGGTTAATTTCCCGCCGGGTGTTTAAGATTGGGAAGTATATCGGATCGCGGTGTGGAAGTGCAGAGACTGCCGTACTGGTCGCCCTTACGAGGATGTGTCGGGTACGACCTGAGTCCGAGATTCTTTCTCTGATGGTGGAGAAGAGGACTACGTTGGAGAGGATCGCGCATTTCAGGCAGGCCATGGGGCTGCCCAACAAGCTGAAGGAGTTCCTGCTGCAGCATCAGGGGATATTTTACGTGTCGACGAGGGGGAATCAGGGGAAGCTGCACACTGTGTTTCTGAGGGAGGCGTATAGGAAAGGGGAGATGGTGGAGCCGAATGAGATTTATTTGGCGAGGAGGAAGTTGGGGGAGTTGCTGTTGATGAGCCCTAAGAAGGCTAATGTTGATAGGATGCTTACTAGCATGGGGAGGGGGAGGGGAGATTATGAAAGGGATGAGGGGGGGAGTGATAATGACTCAGGGGTTGAGTCTCAGACCATGGAGTGAGTAAGAATTTTGATCATTGTGAGCAGAGAGGGCATTTTTGAGCTGAAATTTCTGATGGTGATGCAAAAGACTCTAAATTTTGTTGTGAAAGTGTAATTTTGGTAGTCGAGGAAGAGTGAGTTACGGCTAAATTCAGATGGGTTTTCAGCAAAGCATTGAAAGTGGTCGCTTTGTTCGTTGAGAGATATCGTTGTGTGTATGATTTCAGCAATTTAAGAAACGAACCGAGGAGCTAATTTGTGAACCCATGAGGGGGTAGTGGTTCTGATTCAGGTGTAGAGAGCCCGTTCATGGAGTGAGTTTAGGATTGGTTATTGTGGGTTCTGTTTCCATAACGGTTTCAGAGAGAACGCAGTAATCTTCGCAATTGAGAACGAGTGAGTTATCACCAAATTCAGATCGAGTTTTGCTTGTTATAACATCTCACTAGAGTAAGGTTTTTGGCGGGCATTGATAGCGTCGATCATTGGAGAGAACAAGTACATGTGTGATACTGTGATGACAATACTAAGAAATAAGCAACAAGTTTTGGTGCAGGTATGCAGAATAAATGTGGGTTGTTGTTCCTTTAGCCACATTATGGCATGGATGTGCAGGCCATGAGAAATTTCTGCGATACGCATTTGGTTTGAGGTTTGGAGATGATAGGAAGGGAATTGGAAGAAGGTCATACCCGTGCGTAGTTGAGCTCCAGTACAACCAACCAATTTATATCTGTTACTTGACTGCACCACGATTCAGTAGAGGTGTGAGCTCCTCTTGTTTATCTCTATATCATTTTTCAATTTTTTTCGCAATGGCTGTTTTAAACGCATTTGTGATTTCTTCGGTGTTATCAGACAGCATATCTGGATTTGTAGTCACTGGTAATGCCAACCCCTGCTTTCCATGTTTTACTAGTGTTTTAGATTCTCAATGGACTCTGCACTCGTCTGGAGTAGTGTCTGGACTGAGATTTAATATGTGTTAGCTTTGGTAGCTAAAATGATGTTTGGTAGAATTGGCAGGTTCTTAGCTTCATGGGATTTTTTTTTTTTTTAACTTGATTCTAGTGTGGCTTGGCTTGTTTACCAGGTTGTGTAGTCTCTTAATACTGTAGACTCAGCCTTGAGCCTTTGAACCCTGGCTTCAAGATGGATCTTTGTTAAAAACAAAGAGATCTAATTTCTATTTGGGGGTTTTATCATAGAAACCACTATAAGAAAACCACAGTCAAAGTTCAGTTTATAGGAACCACCTTTAAAGGACGCTGATCTATTTTTTGAAGAAACATTAATGAAAATTCTCAAAATCATATCATATCATATCATATCATACTCCCTTTAAAAGCACGAGATCGGAAAAATATTTTGGTAGACAAAAATACCCTTGTAATTCAAATATTATGATCTATTAAGTAAGAGTAAGTTGATAAATTGATGAATTCTTATTGAATATACGTAGTATGAAGATAATGATACATTTTAAATTAAAATGTAAATCTAAATAAAATTATTAAATGTCAAATTTACAAATGTCTACACAATAAATGGCATATATGCAAAAACCAAATAAATTAATGAGACAAATAATGTCTATCCCAAAGGTCGAACCCAGGAACAACGTAGACCTATAAATGTACATAATGCGGATGAGATATTTACAAAATCTACCAAACAAATTAAAGAGACAAAAATCATTCTCAAAATTATAAAAAAGAAAAATTAAAAAAATAAAAATCATACTCCCTTTAAAATCACGAGTTCAGACAAAACTTTTCATAGTCAAAATTATCATGTACTACTTTAAATATTTAATTTAAATTATAATCTATCCTAATCATACTTATATCCTATCCTAATATCTCATGAACTATCTATACCTCAACAATTTAAATAAGATTAATAAAATATATGAAACAGTTCTGTAGTATCAATTTATTACATGAAGTATTACAAAAAAAAGCAAAAAGTTTTAAAATTAAACAAAATACTCTCAAAAGTTTAAAATTACACAAAATAAAAAGCTAAAAATTTAGAACTTTGCAAAGAAAAGAGTAATTGTGTGATATTCTTTCATTAAGATATATAAATATAACTTATAATTTAAGGTTTACTATCCCTTTTCAGAATCTGAAAATAGTTAAGTTGATATTGGTAAAAAAATAGTAATAATAACAAATTAAAATATCCAGTTAAAGAATAAAATTTAAAATATATATATATATATATGATAGATTAAAACTTAATGTTATTGTATAAAATAAAGTAATTGCATATAATTTTATCAATATGTTAGAGCAGCAAAAATACATAAGTATCATTAATTGATAGAAGACTAAATCGTAAAAAACTGATAAAAGACTATAATATTATAGGTTAACATTAATTGGTTATAATTTATAAATATTGATATCTAATGGTAATAATATTTATAGGGTAAAAAATTATAAAGATTTATGTATGGAGAAATATTAGAAAATTTAGAGATATCCTTCAAAAGAATTAAGTGGTTTTCATTTCAAATGGAATTCGGAACGTCCATGAATCACTTCAATTAACACTAACATAAGTTATATTTATCAAAGAAACACCGACTAAGTACCCCCTGAAGAATATAGTGAACACTTTGTTCCAATCAAAGAAACATTCTTCATGGAAGATAAAGAAAAATTACTATGTCATGACTCTGTGTAAGCAAAAAAATATAAAATCACCATTTTTCTTTTTGTTATATGGTATCACGACCTTGCGTGTGACTTTATTTAGGGGTATGACTATTAGCGAAGGATCAATTCTTAAAGACGCGATCAAAGATAATGATGTAATAGTACTATTAGAATTCAAGATCTCTAAATATGAAGGTAGTATATTTCATTACTAAAATTCTTATTAAAAGTCCACTAAATATAAAATTCACCATATAACTATCTCAAATTTATAGAGAATAAATGTATGTCATCGTAAATTGCGTCAATAATATATATCAATCCAAAGATACAACGTACTGAAGAAATAATAGAATAGTAAGTAAACCAAGCAAACATCCATATAACACCGTAAAAAAAATTAAACTAATATGCAACACTCTTTTAGAGTAAGTTGCCAAGACAAAATCATCTCTATTAAAGCTCTTTATAAATGCAGCATAAATTCAAATTACTAATATATACAACCATTATAACATTCGAAAGAGGTATGATCTTAGAAAACCTACTCTAAAATTCATACAATTAAACCTAATAATAATTTACCAATATATAGACACACTATCGTACCTTTGAGGCAATGATAACTACCATTTATAATAGAGTTGATCATTGGTTCTATGTTTGCAAAGGCTGCAACAAGAAAATGGATAGAGATGTTAATAATAAGTGTCTAGATGATAAATGTTGTAGAATCGTCAATGTTGTAATACTAAGGTTAAGTGATATTCCTTCTTCATAAAATAAATATATAAAAATTAAATATTAATATTATGATCTAAAGCAAATTGACGATAAAAATGTTATGTATTTAGTTCAGATCCTCATGTAAAATGACACAGACAGAGCAAATGTAACATTATGACACAACAGAAATTCTTATTGGATGCACAACAGAATAATTCATTGCAGAGAAAAAAGAGGTAGCTTCTAACATTATTTAAGTAATAAATTAAAAGCACAAAAATTTCATATATATGAGATTAACATCTATTCTTATTAAAATAGGAAAAAAATCAAAGCTTGTATTGTCAGAAGTTTGTGTTGAACATAAGAAATATACTCAACTTCTTTGTGAATTTAGATGAGAAGACAAAAGATGAATGAGCCCAAGGAAAGATAACATGCTCCAGTCTCATATCACAATCAATGTAGACGATGAAGACACTACTCTAGAATTGCCTAGGAAAAAGATAAAGATGAAGAATGATTGATCTCGACTCAATAAAAAATAAAATAGAAGCAACAAAAGATAATGTTTTGTGAATTGTTATAGAATAGTTTTATTTTTTTAGTAAAATTAGGAATCTTTAGAATGGATTTTCATAAACTATTTTTAGTGCTTTCATATGCATATGTGGATGAAGTGTACTAGAGTTAGCATTAATTTTCAGTTTATGATTTTTTTTATTAACTATTTTGTGTTATTTTAGCCCACTTTAAAACAACCATCTTGGCTCGTTTGCTTTATTATTCATCTTCCTTTTATAATGTTATTTTTTTCAAGTGTTTTCACTTTCATAACACTATACTGCTCATGTCAAGTTCGGTTTCATGCCGATCCAAATGAAATGAAGATTTAAATTGGCTTTAAATTATATTTATCTCCTGATAATTCAACTGTCAACATAAAAATTTAAACTGTGTGTAGCCTATTCAAACAAATATCAAATAAATAAATAATCAAAGTGTAATCGAGGAACAAATTTTAGTAAGAAAATAAACCAAAATTACTTAATCAAAGTGAACAAAAATTATCAAAGAGCAACCGAGAAAAAAAAATTAGTAAGAAAATGAACCAAAAATACCTAATCACAGTATTTAACCGCGTGCATTGCACGTGCATAAAATCTAGTACCCTTAAAAAAAACACAAGTGTTAAGCACTAGGTTTGGTTAAGAAGGCATGTCGCGTGTAATTTTCAAAGGTATTTTTCAAAATTTAGTCAAATTTTCAACAGAAAATATGTCAAAAGTGGTTGATTGGAAGGGCAACCCCCTTTAGAGGTAGTTTTCATAGAGTTCTACTTTTATTATGGTTGGAGGAAAAGTAAGATGCGTAGGGATAGCAAAGATGGTGCTAGTAGTCAAACTGTTTTAAACCGATACTGCTGAAAAAAGATTTGATGAATGATTTATGAACAATGCTAAAGCTGTGCACCTCAACAACTAGTGTATGTGCAGCACACTACTAAGCTACTACCACCTAGCTTTGTTAGAAATTCTACTTAACATTACCTAAAANCGGGCTATATTATATTTTGAGCAGAATAGCAAAATATTACGGAAGCTAGACAATAGTTAATCCTCAACCCTCCAGATACAAAAGTAATTTTAGCATATTTTTTATCTGGATATTTTCATGTGAGGTGCCTACATAAGCTGATATATTTTCTTTGTTACGGTATTATTCTTAATCAAGTGGGGCGAACTTTTTTATTATTTCTACCTGCTATATTTTTGTCCAGAATATAGAACGATATAGATAGGAAATCTGAATTCATGAACTAATGGAGGCCCCGGCCCAGTCTGCGAAACGTCTAAATACCTACTTTTCCTCGGCCCAAGTTTTGAATGCTATCGTTGTGGGCCTAAGTTCACTTTGTCTGCGCAGCCCACGGCAATCCTCGGGCTCTCGAACGCTCCTTTGTATGTCGGTAGTCGGTTTACGGTTTCGAGAGCAACAGTTGTTGGAGGTTCAATTGTCAGATCAAACTTTTTCTGTTTTAAATAATTTCTCTATTCGCATTTCGCAGTCAATTCGTTTGAACGCGGACCTGACCTATAAAGCATAAACCATATAGCTCATGTGCATCTACATGATTTGTTATCTTATCCTACTGCAATTTTTTTTTTTCATTAAACTAGTATGCCACACATGCGCGTGCAAATGTGACGTTTTTAGCTTAAGAGATATTAATAAATAATATATTCTACATTATTGATGTTCAAATATGTGTTTACGATACAATATTTACTTATGGTATATTGATTCTTAATATACCACGTACGAAAGTTACAAAGGCCACTAAATAAAACATAATAATATTAAATGTCAACTATCTTATTGGAATAGAAAAAGTTGTTATCAGCTGTAAAATTACAAAGCTATAATAACAAGATGGAATCACAACCAATATAAAAATATTATTTGAATAGCTCTGAGAATTGTATAGGCTAATGCTTTAATCCAAATTAAAGAATCTCAATCAAGAGACAAATTAAGTTGGA